AATCATTTTGGCTCTGAATTTAAAAGTTTTCACAAATTCCAAATACTCTTGACATTACACATGCTCATCGTGTTGTTAAAGCTCTCAGTGGAAGGCCTAACTTTTTAACATGGGAAAGAAAATATTCAGGTATACAAACAATATTGGTATAACTTAAATGGTCAACAGTTTGTATATTGTAATAGGGTTAATTATTTACAGTCAACAGAGTCAGGCTAATCTCTCTATAGTGAGATGGGAATATCCTTGAAGATAAGAAAGATGTGAATTGGAAGCAAGTATTGTTGTAAGTCTGGCTAATGCATTGTACTGGCTTTGTTTCCAGCTAATGCCTTGGCCAATACTTTTAGGTCACACTTGGCATTATGGGGACAAAAAAAATTGAGATTGGGCTCTGTTTTGATTTTGGATAGACCGATTTCCTGTTCAGTGATAATGAATTATCACTCTTGGCACTGATGTTTTCTGTATTTAACGGAATGGATATTGGCTAGATATTTCCTTGAACAATAATAAAGTTGCAAAATCAGTTCTGTAACCCTCCAGGGAACAGGGTAGTGACATATTTAACAAACCTAAAATAAAATAATGTTCACTGTGTGTGGGAGATGTGTAGTCATTGACTTCTCTTTTTTTCCACACAGAGAAGAATAAACCGTTGTCCTACCTGACAATTTATCACTTTGATTTCTCATGCGATTTCTCATTTTTTGGGTTGGTATTTGCAGTTGCTCTTGAGATTTATGTGAGGTGAGCACCATGGAAGTTATGACAACAACCTGGCTTCTGTTCATTGTTTGATTTACCTTATGTGCCTTTATCATTTTGGCAGGACGCAGTATACCTCTGGTTCCTGAGCAGGTTCCTCAAATGTTTTCTCTTTCAAATATTAAATTAACACACACATCCACATTAGAGTGCATACTGCATTAGAACAAAAATACAAAAATCTGTATATGAAAGATGCAACATCCCCCAAGTGTCAAGTTTGGCATTTGAAAATTTGGAAATCCACTTTTTTTTTTTTTTGCTTTATCTGCTAAAGTTCGAAATGTCTAGCTACCGTAGCTGTCTAGTTTATAAGGTGCTTCACTCACTTTGATATTAAACGGGTTGCTATTGGTAACAACTGGACCCAGTGGAGAAAATGCAGGTTTTGGCCTCTCTGTTTTCACTTGATTAATTTTTTTAACTGTATTGAACATTTTGACATTATGACAAACATAACAGAAAGTGCACATGCATTTATATAATCTAAAAATAAATTTCACCTTATTTTGAAATCTCTTGAAGATTCTGGCCCTTATTGAATTTTTATTTAGCCATTTTACAATATCTTGTCCAGTGCCCAACAGTTTTCCACTTTTCAAATCTTCATTTTCTGATTCACAGTCGAAACTTTAATCTCATAATTATATGGCTGGAATTTAGGCACAATTAGACTGCCTATGTCTGCAACTATTAAAGAATGTGCAATCTTTTTAAATTTGTATTCGATCATGGGTAAAATTTGGACTTTTCCCCCCCAACAAATTCATGACTGTTGTATGGTGCACACTAGATTTTGTTAGAAGTACCCAAATTGGTTCAGTATTTAAATGACAGGAAGAAGAGTGAATTACTAACATGTCCTGTTCCTTTTTTTCTCTCCTCCACTTATCTTAACCCCCATCCCTCCTCTCTAGTTTGGTGGTGAGGACAGAAGAGTAGGCAGTAGGACTATCTATGTTGGTCATCGGCCGTGTCCTGCCGATGAAGTTTTCATCCCACCCAAGTTCTGCGATAACAGGATTGTGTCCTCGAAGGTAAAAACATCTCCCATGCATTTGCCAGAGCTCCAGTCTGGCAATGCACCAAGACTTTTGTTTGTTCCTAAGCTTGTGTTATGTTTTATCTACCTGTAGGTACTTCTGCTTTTTATTTAACGCTTGCAAAATGAACTCTTGAACAGTCATCAGCATTCCAGTGGCTTCTTTCCTTTGTTTCCTGTTCCGACTGCTTCTCCTCATACTTGTCTCGGCTCCCAATGGAAGGCGATTATTTGTCTGTCAGTGGAGTACAGACTGTGGCAAGGAAATACATGGCTGCTATTAATGTACTGGAACGGTGGGCAATTCAGGCTTCCCCTGGGCTCTGACTACAACCCCCCTCCTTCACCACCCAAGTTTTACTCTACCTGTTAGTTCTGTGTCAACAGCCGGCTTGGGAAAGTACTGACTGACTGGCTTTGAATATCTAAGGTGAAAGTGATCAGGGGAAGCAAGTGAAGTGATAATAAAATGGCTCTAGGATTTATAGTGATGCAGAGCATCTCAGCGAGGAAGGGTCAATCTATTGGTTTCTGCCAGTATGTCAGGGTAAGCAATCTTTAATTACCCCAGCTGCAGTGTTTATTCTCCCTTGTGCCTCTGCTCTTCCTGTTGCTTTCCAGCAGTGTCCAATCTGCCTCTTCTCTCATGTTCTCATTGCACCTGCACCCTCCAACCTCTCTTTCTTGTTGCTTTCACCCTCATTACTTCTTAGCGAAATGAGATATCCATTCTGCTCGTGTGGCATTTCAACACTATCCCCATGCACTCCACAAAAAGGGCTTTATTCTTGTTTCTGTGCAAAGCTGCGTAGACGTGCTTTGTTATTGACACAAGGTTACCAGCGGGGTATCGTTGAGAGGTCTCTCAGGGAGTTTTGCAGATAAGTGTTGCTTCAGCGCCGATGATATCAACAGTCACGGCCACTTAAAAAAAAAAAAGAAGACACAAAAACAGTCACCCACCTCGTAAGTTCATTGACTCTGCATTCAAGGGTAGCCAAATATAAGAGATGCATATCTAATCTGAATCAGTGGAATACCTGTGGTCCCCAAGGCCTGTCTCCCTAGTTGGTGCAAAGAACAGAGACTATAAGCTATTGAAGTTGCCTTCCTATTTTCCTTCCCCAGCTCAACCAGAATACACAAATACAGGACTGTGGATATTGGATGTCTCTAATCTCTCTTCCTTTGCCAAGCCTTTCTTTAACTTCTCTGAGTCTGGTTACAAAACATGGTAGAGTAGAAAAACCACAGAGCGCAGAGCAACAAAGAAAGTCCACATGCAGTTCTTTCTATTTAATTTTTCTGTAATTTCATGTTTTTACATATGTGCTTCCTCTTTTCTCCCCCAACAGTATACAGTATGGAACTTTCTACCAAAGAACCTGTTTGAACAATTTAGAAGAATTGCCAATTTCTACTTCCTTATCATCTTCCTGGTGCAGGTAAGGCCAAGCTTTGTCTGTATGCCAACTCAAACAGTGATGAGTGATATAATCTTTTTAAAATAAGGACTTTGTGGGTGCCTCTTGTTTATTTGATGGTGTTAATTTGTAGTCAGGTCTCTGTATGAAGGCTAGTTTTTTTAAATTAAGTCTGAATAGATCAGTGTAAGTGATCGACATGCTGACTGTGCTGCCTGCATAAAAAAGGGGCGTGAGAAACTACATCCATGTGCATGTAGCCATAGCAGGTGTGCAATAGTAACAGGAAAAGTGTGTGTACAATTATATCAGGCGTGAAACTGCTCTACCTTATTTCCTTACTGGGCGTGTTCATTTGCGTGAACTGCAGAAAGTCAAAAAACGTTTATATTGAAGGCACACTGATCAGTACAATTGGTCATGTTTAAATGCCTTGCTTTACTACGCTCCCTTACACCCTGCTCAGGTTATAGCGTTATGCACAGTTTGTCATTTAATCCTGTTTATAACTTTCAAAGAACATGAAAAATTCAGCATTATGGCAAGTCATCAGCAGTTTAATTCAACGAACTCATTCATCCAAGACCTGGTCTCACATGGTTTTCAAGTAAAACGGAAAGAAATTTGAATAGTTGAAAGTTGCTTCTCACTTTGTCTGAGAATCCCATTTTAACAGGTTTGTAGTACTCTCATGCTAATCCCTGAATTTCTTTTTGTGTCACTGTTGCCTTGGTTTGTCTTGTCTGTGCTTAATTACTGGAAACGGAACTGGTTGAGGACGCTAACTAATCGACTTCAGCTGTAGTCTTAAGTGACTCCTCTCCTCTCTGAAGATTTGTTATATACATCTGCTTTTGCTCTTCCATTACCTCTTCCTAATCATCCATTTTTGCGGTCCATGGAAATGGAAACTAACTGGTTTCCTTTTAGCGATAATCTAAACTATGGCAGCAAAAGGAGCCTTCTAGTGTAAGCAGGTGCTTGTTTTAGACCTTGTCAAGGAGGAAGTCCTTTCTCTCGTCGTGGACTCTGAGCTCCTGTTCCCAGAAACCCAATGTTTCAGTGTCAGAAATGAAATAATCTCAAACAATATCACATTAAGTGTAATATTCATTTTCCCCAGCCTTTCTTCTCTAAGTTGTCTGGATTAATTCTATATTATATATATTATTCTGTATTCTGTCTTAGCTACTGCGTATGGATGCTGAATTTTTAATTTTTTTTGTATGGGATTAATGTGAGAAGAATCAATGTATGTGAAGATGAGGAATTTCTACCTGTGATGTGTTCATTTTACAATGTTTGTGTGTGAATAAATGTATATGTGTGCGCGTGTGTGAGCTTGCGGATGTTATGTATGAGTCAGTGGGTGTCCTGGGTGTTTACCCGAGCTGCAGTGTGGTTGGCATTTCTCCACTAATCCAGTTTCACTTGAGGGGTTCCTTATCCTAACCACTCAGTCTTTCCTATGCAGATTGCTATTATATTAGATGGTGTGAAACAGGTACGCAGATTGTGCGCTCATTTTGCACTTGCATCTTACAGACAGAAATAAACCTTCACATTTCCCCCGAGAGGCTCAATGCAAATACTCTACCAACAACTAAATGTCATGCATCCTCCAACTCTGTTCTATCCTCCTTTTGTCTCACGTTGTCATTTGGCGTCTTTCTTTCTGTCTTTCTCTCACGTAACCTCCAATTCGCTGCAGCGCTGCACTGCTGACGTCAGCAGCCAGGAAGCCCTCTGTACATCTGAGTGCCACAAATAGACACAGGCTGATAAAAAAGCACCACTCTCCTATAAATAGCCCTGCGTGTCTTTGCTCGAATTTGATTGAATGGGAATAGAGCACTGTGAGAGAGTGGGAGAAATGGTGTTGAGAGGGTGAGAGAAAAGGAGAGACCGAGGGGGTGGAAAAAAAAAAAGAGAGGACGAAGGGGTGGGAGGATGCGAGGACCCGCTGCTTTGGGACCCCGGGGAACTGCTGTCTGTCGCTCACTCTGACACACTTCCCGGCTCAGATGAAGGGCTTTCTGCTGCCCCGTTCTGCTGCTGTGATATCACACCAGCACATCAGCAGCAGTACACTCTTATTGCTGTGATTTTTATTTTTTTTGGCTTTGCATTTGGTGCAGTGGAGGCAAGTGTGTATAAAGTTGGTGGCGGTTGTTCTTAATGGGTGCAGATGAATTGATAAAAGGTTGAGTATATGAATGTTTTATTTTTCTTAGGAGTAGCTGTGCATATAGTCACGTTCTGCTATACTTAAATTGCCACTGAGCCATTGCTGTTGTGTAAGTAGAGGCACACGTGCTTTCCAAAAATGTTCCAAGAATTTGTCCATGACATTCCTGACAATGGATACGTTGTGCTGAGTGAGATCAAACTGCGTGTATGTGTAACCACTGGGGCTACACAACCTTGATGTTTTTAAATCACAAACACAAGGAAGCACCACTTAGTGGTTTTAGTATTAAACACAAATCGTTTTTTTTAATTATAGCTAAACGGCAAAAATAGTTCAAGCAGGTTTAATATAGATGCATTAAATGTCAGTAAAAAACCTGTCTGTTCCAAAAATGGAGGCTGTCCTAGATACAGCTATGTCTTCGAGGCCTGTCAAGTGATTTGAAATTGTATCATAGTGTGGGATTAAGGTTGTTTTGTGTGGGTTTTGTTGATGAACAGATAAAATGCCACCATCAGCTCTTTCTTTTTTAGTCCTGTATTGAACAGTGGCTAAGGATAAATCAAAAGCAAACAACTCTGAGGCTGAAAGTTGGCTTTGTAAAGCATTTTCTTTATACTGTGGTAAACCTCTTTGCCATCTGGCTGCTGCATCAGAGAGACGTTAGTTTCTATTTTTCTTTCTGTGATCAGACAAATCTAAATCCAGTCATGTAAACAAGAGGTGATGGACATTAAAGGGGGCCTATTATACTCATTTTCAACTCCATATTTTTAATACTGATCTCTACTAGTTTAGCATTTCATGAGTCAAAGCTCAAAATAACCAGTTTGCAATCTTATACTGGGCATTGGTGCAAATCCTTGGGTCACCCACTATCTCAAACAAGCTGATTTAGCTCATCTGCCTTTAGGGGTCACCTTCTCTTTAGTCCAGTGCTCATTGGCTGCTTTTCTCAAGAGACACTTTCATGACTGTGTAGCTATCTAGTCTTAAGATCTAAAGAAATATATACTCTTGAATGATTGCTGGCTCTCCAACACATCAGGCCACTGCGGCAATATTAATACTTTTGTCTCACCAGAATAGCTACAAACATAATGCACTACTCTAAATCTTCAAATGGTGGAGGTGAACTTGTCTGTCTCTGCTTTGTAATGGATTTATCCTTTAATGAACTGTAATCACAGTAAGGTTCGGATGGATTTCTAGTGCACTGCCCTTGTACTTTTATGAGTGTGTTTTTGAATGGGTAAAGTATGTGGATCTGTGTTTGTGTCAGACAGCGCTTACTAAGTCTGCTGCCATTTTTATTTAATTTTCAGTTCAAGCGCAGCTGAGGAACACTGGAGACTGCATCAAAACATATCCTACTTGAGCCGATGTCTATCTGACACTTTGTAATGCTCCTGTACAGAATATGAATGAGCTGGATGTGCTGTAATATCCAGTCTGGCTCATGGGGAGCCCAACTGCATTCTGCAGGATCAGAAATGCAAGCGTAAATCCTTCTGATAGTTTTAGTTCACATAAACACAAAGAGCTTTCTGTGTACTGAGATTTTAGCTGGGTGCCTTGTGAGCCACTGCTCTTAAGCTGGATGTTTACCTGATCCTCACATTCTTATTACATACGTGACTTATAAATGCAAAAACCAAGTCTGATCCCCATGCTCTACCTCTAGATTCTCTCACGAAATCCTCAGGCAGGTAAGGTTGGTTTGTCAAAGCTTTCTGCTGGCCTTCTTCCACGCCTTGGCAGAGACACAGTAGTGTTGGAATGCCTGCAGATTAAGCACTCTATCCCTGGCTCACTTGATTAAAAGTTCCGTGGTCCAGAACCTCCTTCTCTCCCCTCCAAAATGTAAATGTCTCCCTTGTGTTCCCTACTGATGAACAAATATGGGAAGTAGTAGAAAAGGACTACACCCTGCATTTAGAGGGCCTGCCTCATCATGTGAACCGTTACCACACATCACTGCTGTAGGAGGACTCTGTAGTAATGTATGTAATACATTGGCATTGAAACAGAAAAGCATATGTTCATTGCTGAGCGTTAACATTGCCTTTCTCTTTTTTTCTTCTTCCTATTAGGTGATAGTGGATACCCCCACCAGCCCAGTCACCAGTGGCCTACCATTATTTTTTGTGATTACAGTAACTGCTATCAAGCAGGTAAGATAGGTTCCTAATGAGAGTAAGTTTTGATAGCAGTCACTTTATTGTGATTTTATTTTTTTTAAATAGCCATGTCTTATTGTCCTCCTTTGTATAACACAGCCCCCCTTTCTTCATAACTGCCTTGGTGTGATTTTTGTGTAAAGTACGTGCCTAATGCTCTCTTGGGTTTTGTATTAATGTGCTCTGCTGGTGAATTCTGATTGGGGTGTAGATGAAATAGCCTCTAGGGGAGTGTTAGCAAATGAAGAGAGAGAGTCTATTTCAGAGGTACAAATTATCAAGGGGAGTATCTGTTTCTTTGACTCTATTGCTTCCCTGTCCCAGCTTTAGATGTATTGTTTTAAGATTGGCTTTTTAGTTAGTCTACAGCTGCGGCTTTGAAATGCACAATAATGGGTGGATTTCCTTACAATAATATATGGGGTGCACTGATAACACATGTCCGTGTTCATTCGTGGTAGTGCTGTTAGTATATTTTTTCACACTGGTTTATACTGTGGAGTTCTGTGAACAAGGCTCAGGCAGTTCCTCCACACATAAAGACGGCGAATGAGATGGTGAAGATAAGGTGTTGCTCATGCTTAAATAGGTCTTTCCTCTCCGGCTGTATACTTCCTGCCAGAAAGTTTGGAAAAATAATTTTAAACTGACTTTTGAACTAAACTGAGTCCAGGATGAAGGAGAGGGATGATCCTGTTAATGCAAACTGACTGATATGTTGAGTGTGGCAAAGCACTGGCAACAGAAAAGGACGATATAACACACGGGAAAGAATAACGAGAAGCCCGTTAAGAACTAAATGATTCTTGATAACCTTATATAAAATGTTCATGTATTGAAGTGAAATTTTTGTTTAACAGAGACCAAGACCTCACATTTTTGGTTGTGTGAGCTAATTTATATAGCAGATGCTTCATTATTGTTTGTATTTTTGACTGAATAATTATATGGATAATAATAATAATAGGAATAAGAATCTTTGCATCACTAAACCAGACTTGATCCTCCTATTATCCTGTAATCCTGCTTTTTGGCTCACACTCAGCCTTGGCACACATTTTGGTTTACCCCTCTATTCTCATCTCCTCCATATCCATCACTATCTTAGAGACCTCATAAAGTCCACACTTGGTTTTGTGGCTCTTGCTGCTGCAGCCTTTGAAATTATCTTTTTACCTGACTCAGTATTATTTCATTTTATACTGTTTCTCTGCACTGCTGGACAATCACCATCTCATTCTGCTGCTGTAGGCACTTCTATACGTAATGATGACATGCTGGATGTGGAAATTTAATTGTATGAATTGACATTCATGTTTTATACTCTTCCATGGACATGACGGATGCCGCTTGTAGTCTGCTGAAACTTCTTTCACCGTTAAGCAGCCGTAAAACATTCAGGGCACACCCCTTAGTTTGACAGCTAGTGCTGTACTGTGGGCCTTTTTATACTGACATCAGTTAGAACTGTCAGTGTCCCATAGGTACAGATGTCACGGAAAAGGTTTCTACTTTTTGTTGTGCTAAGCAATGCTATTCTGATTTTGATATATTGCCACAGGGATATGAGGACTGGCTGCGGCACAAGGCTGACAATGAGGTGAATAAGTACCGAGTGACAGTGCTTGAAGATGGCCGGAGGATACAAAAAGAGAGTGAGAAGATCAAGGTACTTTGTAGCAGCAGATGCATCCTAGCTGAAGTGAAAAATAAAATAATTCCTCCAATATATATGCAGAGAAAGGCTGCTGGCAGCTATAGAGGACTTTTTGGGATATATGCACAAGGGAGAACATGCTCAGACATGTTTGTAAAGGCAACTTATTTATCCAGTGCATTCTACTTTTAAAGACCTATAGTTGGCTGGCTCACTTTAAGTAGTTTTCAGGATTTTAAAATGAACAAGTTTTGTATTTGGTCATCTTTTATTTATTTATTTAACTTTATTATGGTAGAGATCTGCTTGTACAGCTGACACCACTCAGCATACAGCTGTCAATACCAAAGCTTTGTTATGTGTTGTTTATGCGTTGTATAAAACAGCTGTTCCCAGCACAGGAGCCAACATAAGCTTACTGCTAGCTACTGTTGCTAAAATAAACATTTAAAATACAGGCAGGTTTTTGTCACTGCTTGGCAGTCCAAACCTGAGCTCAAAGAAGATTATGGATTGTTCTTGTTTTCACTTTTAGTATCTGGGTTTTTACTCACTGATCACAACAACTTCACAGGGACCTGGCAGTCATATGTATTTATAAGTCTTCTTAGTGATAAAAGTAATTTAAAGTTGTTTGAACTTCTGCCATTCATCCTGTGCGCGATTCTTCCGAAAAGAGGGAGAAAGCACACTGTGTCTTCACAAATGGTCTTTGGTTGCGTTTCTCCAGGTGGGAGATGTTTTGGAGGTGGAGGAAGACGAGACCTTTCCCTGTGATTTAATATTGCTGCAGTCTAGCCGAGATGATGGCACATGTTTTGTTACCACAGCAAGTCTGGATGGAGAATCGAATCATAAAGTAAGATAAGTGTATTACTTTTCAATCGTTTTGCATAGAAGAATTTGAATTAAAAGTAGTTCCAGATGACGTTTGGAAGAAGCAGATGAAGTTATAGTTAATGTGCGTTCATTTGATGAATATTAGGTAATAAGAGAGGAGGAGTGGATGTAGAAGAACAGTAAAGAATGCATTTGCACTTGCCTAGATACATGTTAAAATAATTGTGTAGTTATAATTCAGGGAATCTTGATTTATTTTCATTGAAT